ACCTTGTTTTCTCACGTGGTTTAACTAGTTTGGTGCAGCTGGGATCGAGTCAAAAACATGCCTTCTAAAACATCAGCAGTGCTGACGTGGTGGCCATTCTTACCAACAGGTTTGTCCAGAAATGTGCTCAAACAGAGTGTAAACTTTTATCTTGTTATGGTTTGTTAGACTGCTGACATGCATTCGGTTCTTGCTTTGAACTTGTTTCTCACACAAGTTCTTCTGTTTATATGTTCTTGATGAGCCAAACAGCAACCGCTCTTCAGTGGAAACAAGTAAACATGATTTATCTAAAATGTTAAAGGCATGGGCTGTTTTGTGTGGGATTAGTGTTTCAATTCACTTTGTGTTGTGTCTCTGGCAATGTTTCTGTACTAGATGTACTGGAGAAAGATGTAACAGCAGGAGTTGTTACAAAACGGCTTTCCCACAATGAACTTTCTCAATGTGTCCTCTTCATCAACAGTCTCCTAAAAGCAGCATAAGCTGTTCAGAGAAGGTATCCACAAACATTTAGGCAGGACTGCATCACCTCCTGCCTGGTACAGACCGTTTGTGTGCCCAGCTGAAATACTGACTATATTTGCCTTCTGCATTAGCATTCCCTGGAATGGTGCTGCAGCCAAATGATCCGGCTGTATTGCAGCTGGTGAGTGGCTGTAACTACAAACACAGGGGCAGCTGTTTTATGTAGGGTGATGGAGACCTGCTTTAGCTCTTGTGGTTCAAGCTGGAAAGACTCCAGTCTGTGTTTCTTGGTCTAAATTCTGAGACTCTGAATTATATTTCAAATTACTGTACTCAGTTACTTTAATTAAAATATTTAAATGTACAAGAAGAACATATAAAACTAAATAATAAAAATAATGAATATGGAGCACTTCAACCATTCAGTCACTCCTCATCTGAATCAGAAAAAATGTTACTAGTCAACTTCTCATAAACTTTTGGTAGGTGTTTGATACCCATTGGAAATCAGTGCGGTCAACAAGTACCGCATGAAATGCAGCCTGGAGCACCTTTTTCAGTCTCAGAGATGAAACTGATTTAACAGTCCCACTGCAAAATCCTTCCTGAGTGTGTTTGCAGTGCTTGTTCTAGAACTGCTCCCTGTAGGCTTGTCATCCCATTCCAGTGCCTTTGACAAAAAAATTACTTCTGCTTTTATTCTCTTGGGATGATTGGAGAAATAATTACAATCATTCCTGCAAACCCCACTGATTATCTAGTGTCTTTTTTAAATCCCAAAAGTAATACTTTCGGTTTTAATTTTGGATCTTGAGTTTTAGGTAGGAACATTTTCTATCATGGGATAATTTTGAAGAGAGTTTTAAAAAATGTTAATTATATCTTCTGGAAAATCTTTGTGCTTTTCAATAAGCTTAACCTTTCTATAAATAATACAGTGCAAAAGAATGCTTATGAAATAACTGACTTGCCACATTTACTTGTTGGGTTCCAGACAATAGATGGGGCATGAGATCATGGGAATTTACTGTTATGCTTATGGAAGCCAAGCTGGTTGGAGAATGGTGACATTGGCATTTGAATTGCTGGCTGAGCACTAAAGAGAAACTTCTTTTGAAATACATGCAGTGGCCTCCAACTCAGGCAGTCAAGCTGTTACCCCATGCATTCTTGAGGTCTTTGGTGCTGGAGCAGAGTTTATTAAAAGATACTTTCCTGTGATAAGTCTGGAGGCTTTTAGCCCAGAAACAAGGTGAAAAAAAGAGGGAGGAGTTGGTGAGTTCAAAGCTGGGGGTAGAGGAGGATCACTGCTGTGGGAGAGCTTTGGGATATCGTCTTGTCACCAATGTTCCTTCACTCTCTCTCTTACAAACCTGATTTCTGTATGTTCTTGGGAAGTTTCCCTCCAGAAAAGAAGGTACCATGAGGTGAAGGCTGGTGACAATAAATAAATAGTTGCCATATCAGGATGCAATTAAGGTGTTCTCTAAAAAGACAGGAATTCAGAAATCTAGGAGGGTGTGGGAGGGAATGAACAGCAAAAAAGTGGTTTGGGAAAACTAAGCTCACGTCTGTTGAAGCCCATGGGAAATGACTCTTGGACCATAATAAAGATAACGGGGAAGTAATACCATGAATATTTTTAAACTTGAATAAAAAGTCAAATATATGCTTTCTATGGCTCCCATCCACAGACTGCTGTACAGTTGGATTCTGTACAGTTCTGTGTTTTCTTTAAAATAATGACACTTCATCTTTTATTTTCAATAAGCCATGAACATGGTTTCATTTTTGCAATATGAACATTTTACAGAAAAAATTTTGGTTTGAGTATATTACCAATATATTTGTTCCACCTCTGTCTGATACCATAATTAGTTAACAGATTATGTCTGGGAGCAGCATATCTTAAGCCTCTACTTATGTTGTAAGTAAAATTAAAGGCAAACAAATTTAGGAAGGGTAAGAGGAAATATGAACAAGTGCAATCTTGTTTCAGGGTTACAGGAACTGGGAGTGCCATGTGTTTCATTTGTTACTTCAATAGAATCATCTTACTCATCTTTGTGAACTTCTTAGGTCTTGTTCTTACTACCCTTCCTGTGTATCTGTGAGGCATTTCCAGAAGGGTGTTTGTATATATTAAGGTGGAGTAGGACTGGCCTACCAAATAGAAAAGCTGGATTTTTTTTTAGCAGACTTCTCAGTTCTCTTGCCATGAAACTGAGACATTTTGTCTGGCCATAGCGGCAACTGCATCTTGCTCTTTGGCATGCCTTTCTCTTGGTTCTGGTCTGTACTTCAAAAGCAGAGGTGGAAAAGGACAGTAATGTTTTGTAGCTGGGGTTGTGCCTCTTGGGCAGACCTTGTTCTTGGCAAGTCCCTGAACAGCACGGCAGTGGTACCACACCTCGTTTCATGCCCCACGTACCACACGCTTGGTCTGTATCATAAACCAATGTTGGATATCCTGTATATCAACATTCACTTTAATTGAGGGGTTAGCTCTAGCTGAGTGTGGTGAGAGAATCTAGAGTTTGATTAAAAGAATTCAGAACAAGGTGGTTTAATAATTTTTTTTTTCCAGAATTGATTTCCTTGCCTGTTCCTACCCCCTTCCTAGGTGGCTCTGGATGAGGGCAGATGTCAGACAAAAAGCAATTAATTAGAACAGACTTTTTAACAAAAAAAGAGCTGTATGGAGGGGGAAGTTTAGGCATTTATTCACTGTATTGCTCTAGTGAACCAGCTCTGCAGCATATGGCAACCTAAAGATGAAGGCCCTGCAGCAGTGGGTCATATATGGGGAAAATCCCCACAACAGAAAATACAGTGATAGAAACTTCTCTTTGCATATAACCCGAAACACATGGTAATCAATTGCAGGAGCTCTCGACCTGTGGGTTGTAAACAGAAATCAGGAAATTGCAACTGCACTGCCCTTCCTGTGTTGCTCAAGGGCTGGGGAGGGAGAAGCCTGGGAAATGCTGCTCAGTGGCTTCTGCTGCCCAAGAGAGCAGCTGTGTCGCCCATGCCTCACTCAGTCTGGTGCAGGGCCAGGAGGGCTGTGACAGTCATCTTTGCTTCTGTGCCTTCCTCACTTCAGTGTACACAAGCACACGTGTGGCTGTACACTGCTGGTTAATTCTCCCCACCCACCCCCACGCAATAGGAAAAGCAAGGTGCTTTCCTTGCCCTGATTAGTGCATTCATTCCTAAAGTGTTCCTGGGCTTTGGAGGCATGGATCTGGGGATAAATTATGGTACTGAGTGTCTGGTTTAAAAACCCCATATTTCCAGAGCTATAAGCATCTAGACTTCAAGTTGGCAGTCTTGGTTTGTTGCACAGTAGCCAGTAAAACAGCTTGTTAGTGGCGCTGCTTACTTAAAAGTCCAATAAAACACATGAGGTGTGGTAAACTAGAGACCAGGGGCTCTGAAGGAATGCCATCTTCCTTAACAGAAAACCTCTTTGGTAGCTATCAGATCTGGTTTAGAAGCATAGCTGGAAATGGAGGGTAAAGAAACAGGGAATTTTTTTAATAAAGAATATATGGGTGAGCACTTCTGTCTCTTGTAAAACACATCTGAATCCTCATTTAGTGCAGTGAAAAGTGAGCATGTCTGGCTGAGAAGTGGGAATAAGAGCCTCTGGTTAAGGCTGTAAATAGCAACTGAATCTATCAGTGCTTGTGGAAGCCAGGGTGTTTGTTGGGTGTCTCGCTGGGTGGTGGGTCCTCCAGAGAAGGAAGAGTGTGGATGGGTCCTTTGATGAAGGAATGCCTTACAAAGTAGTAGGAGGCTTTATCAGCAAGAGACAAACACTGTTAGCAGCTGTTGTGCAGCTTGTTAATGGTGGAAACATCTGCAGAATATTGACCTGAATTTGTAATTTGTGTACTGCTCCCATAGGAGTTCAGGCACTTGGTCTCCTTTCTCTGAACAAGTTTTCATGTTCTGAGTAGGAAAAGGAGTTTTGCATGATGGTAAGGTATTGGGAAACCAGGGTATCTAACATGAGTTGCCTTGTTAGTTAGTTCTGATTGATTGTGCTATGCAGATATTTGTTTTCTGACTACTGTTAGGCAGAAAGGCCCAATACAGTCCAATCTGCAATTAAGTCTTCCAGGTTAAACTATTTTCTTCCTCAGATTTGTGTGGGGACCAGCTGGTGAGGAGAGTAATTCACCCCAGAGAAGTGGGGACGTTCTCCCCATTTAGTTTCTGGGGGGCAACTAGGGAGGGTATCAGTTATCCATTGCTCTGGCAGTAAAAATTATGAGTTGGTTGCTCAGAAATTGTAGAAAAAACGGATGCAAATTCTGTCTCTCTCAGATTGTGTCTTGTCTCACTCTGATTTCTACTTGCCTACACAAAATAGACCATTACTGAAATGTAAAATAGTTATCCTAAAATTAGAGCGAATTGTGGTCTTACTGTTGAAATGGGAGTCTCTGGTTCGCCCTTTTTTTAATGTGTGCATTTGGAAAGAAAGCCTTTTGAAACTAAAACTTTCCTTGTTGGTCTTTCAGACACAGTTGAGTCCATGCTTTCAGACTATGACATCCTCTCTCTGTCTAGCATCCAGCAACACTCACTGAAGAAGAGAGACCTCCAGCCTGAGACACATGTAGAGAGGCTCTTAAGTTTTTCAGCCCTGCAAAGGTAATTAAATCATTAAATCAATCAGTGATTAAATAGCATATTTGTCTTCAGTTTCTGATGAGTAATGTGCAGTTTCAAACCCAGAAATTGTTATCTTGTTTTCTGTCATGACTGGCCAGTTCTTCTAGGTTAGCGATCTGCATCATTTATATGACTTCAGAGAGGCTCAGAGGAAAGGGGAAAGTAAGTTCTGTTTTATTTTTCTGATAGCTGAAGTGGCAGTAATTTAGGATTTCTGTTGCTTTATTCTTAGGTTTAGTTTCATATAGATTACTCCCGCTGATCGGGTTGGATCTCACTTGTACCTCATCTGGCAATGTTGTCAGTACTTGACTTCTGGTTCTTGAAAATCTCAGCCTTCGGTTTTGGAAGTGTTTGTGGTGTGTTGCCCAGGAGATTTACTGTATTTACTTTCATGGAGGTTTAATCCTTTTCCTACTGAGTATAAATGTCCCATTAAATAAAATACTTATTTTAATCTTTTGTTTGTTTGGTTTGGTTTTTTGTTTTTTGTTATAAGATGGGAAATAAAAGCTGTGGTGAAAGGGGGAGGAGAAGTAGAAGGGAGCAGGCATGAAGATTGCAGGAGTTTTATTCTGAGACTCAGAAAAGTGCCTTGCAGGTATTTGAGTGCTGAAACTGTGAATCTGAAATGGGGAGCAGGGTGAATATAACACTTTGTATTAACAAATGTAGACTGATTGTTGTTTGTCTGACATCTTTTGTCCTCTGTGTATTCATGTGCCTTCCCCTGTGTCATCTTCAACTGTCGTGCAAGTTATGCATAATTTTTAAATATTTGAAAGGGCAATTTTTTTGACTTTGGAGGGGCAATTATGAGAGGTTAATGGGATCAGATGTCTGACTGTCCTTGTTTTGCACTGCCTCATGCACCCTGGCTTTATGGTGAGGCTGCCAATGACAATTACAGAATAATTGCAGAGGAGCATGCCAAAAATCTTTGACCCAAAGCTCACATAAACCAAGAACCCATAAGGCTTCTTCCAGAAAAGGTTATCAGTTTACTTTTTGGGATGGTGTTTAGTTTTTGTGACAATATATTGTAAAAAATATAGGGAGTTCAGATTTTTGTTTATGGTCTTCTGCCTATATTATGTCAGAAGGTAAGAACTTCAACATAATTTATTTTCAAATAGATGAAGAAATTTCTTGGTCTGATTTTTTTTGTCTTTAATAGTTACCAGTAACTGGTTTTGCTTAACTGCAAATGGAGAAGGCACATCATGAACAAACCGACTGTTTTGGATTTTGGGGGTTATTTTTTAACTTTTTTTAAATGAAACATCTGTGATTCTAAAATATTTACAGTTATGAATTACACAGTATATATTTTCGTAGCCTGCTTATCAGAATTAATGCTTTTTAACTTCTTTTGGACCCTCAGTAAAATGGAGATTGAATGTATCTGTTATGTGTATACTTTGCTTAAAAATAAATGTAAGTAAATTCTTTTACAGGCACTTTAAATTATACTTAACTGCAACTGCTGAACACTTTTCAGAAAAATTTCAAGCATTAATTGTGGATGGTGAAGGCAAGGAAAAGGAGTATCATGTTCAATGGCAAGACTTTTTCACTGGACATGTTGTTGGTTAGTATGAAGTAGACTATGGGTCAATGCTGAGAAACAACAGCTTTGCTCAAGTCTCTTGGGCAGACTAAATGGTGTATTTCCTTCATTTTCATCAGATATGGTTAGGATGAAGAAATAAACGTAATTCTTATCCCCTTGGGTTTTCTGGTTTTGTTTTTGTGGTGTGTTTGGGGATTTTTTTAGGTTTGGTGGGTGGTAGGGTTTATTGCATCAAGCTCCTAAGATAGAACTCTTGTGTTTAGTTTGGCAGGACACAAAGGTATAATTTACTTAAGCAGCAGCTTGCAAATTTTTTTTTTTTTAATGCTGATGGTAGCTTTAATTCCAGCTGGAATGTAGGACTTGAATACTCCTTGCCCCAGAACACAAAGCCGAGGTAGAGGTGATGCAATGATACCCAGACTGTTCAATTAAAAGACTAAAAGACAGTTCATTGTAGATTACTTTTCTGTAAATAAAGATACCATGCTCCACTTTATGTGTACTTTATTAGTACTCATGCAGTACTAATGCTTTTGCTGAGTTGTTTTGATTTCTTTGTTGCCTTTGTGATGTGGTGAGACTTTTCTCCTGGAATGCAGGCTGACGCCAAAATTGCTGTCTGATAGTAGTTAGATGCACACTGGCTGCTTTTGTTGGCAGAAATATTGTGTCCCCTATTACTAATCCCCAGAGCCATCTCAACACTTCCTGCAAAATTTTCTGTTAAATCTGAGTCTCAATGACTGACTATTGGGAAGTTGAGACTTGAGGGAAATGCTGATTAATTTTTTATTTAAATGGAACAGTACAGTGATTGAAGAAAGTATTTTTGTCATGAAGTTTAGAAACAATTAAAAACCCCCAACAAACAGTGTCTGTGCAGAAGCACATGCAAAGAGCTGAATTAATTTAATTCTTCCGTGCTTATGTTAAAGGAGAGCATAATTCCAAGGTCGTGGCACATATTGGGGATGAAGATTTTACAGTGCGAATCAATACTGATGGAGAAGAATACAATATCGAGGTATGCTTTGCTGTGGAAAACTGTATCCAGATATTCACCTTCTTTTCCTCTGGGTGTTCCTCTTCCTAGCTGGTTGTGTTGACACTTCTGTAGCTCAAACTAGATTTGGTGGTAGGTAACGTTTGCTTTGGGGTGAGGAGGGAGAGAAATAGGAAACCAATTTGGCTTGTAAGTGTTGACTTTTATTAGCGAGTGACGTTCTCTGACAGTTGCATGTTTTAGATACATCAGGGAGAAGGTACATTTTAAACAGAAGGGGGTTTCAGAAACAGAAATGGTTAATGTTAGAAATTAGTGGTGATCATGGCCTCTAACAAGCTGTGGCAGTCTGAACAGAGTCAATGTCTGTGAAGCTTTTTAAAACTGGCTTTGTTACATCTTGGAAGTTTTCCCATTCTTAGAGCTTCATTGAAAATCTGATATTTTATCTGAAAATCTGGTTATTTTTCCCTATGCCCTTGTTTTTCACTGTTTTCATTGCTTGTGTTATTTTGAACTCTTGGTTAAAAAAAAAACATTTTCAACAAATATATAATTACAGACTGTCATAATGAGATATTCAGTGCAGTATAATCCCAGTCACAAGCAGTATTAGAATGGCTGAATAACAGTAATTATGGCTGAGTGTTATATGAATATTGTAATTGTCTCCAAACCCACAGATACGCAGAATTATAGGTAAACCCGAGAAATCTAGTCGTGTTAAAGTATAAAAATGTGATCAAAATGCCCAAGTCACTTTACTTGTGTTTTACATTAAGAACATACAGCTGTTTGCTTGTGATATAAAGCATTTTTGTGTTTGTGGTCCAGAGCAGTTGTGGGTGTGCCTGGTCTCTCCATGCAGCCAGCCCCTGTCCCTGGCTGGCTGTGTGTGCAGCTGAGGGCAGGCAGTGGTGTGCAGCCTCTGGCTTGCCCATGCTGCCTCGCTGGTGGCGTCCCCAGGTCAGCTTTGGCCACTGACAGCCCTCGGTGAGATGATTCCCATGCACAGCAGCAGAGGGAGCATGCCTGAGTCTGTTCCCCAAAGGCAGCATGGACTTGGCTGCTCTGCCATCTCCTGCTTTTGTTTTTGAGATAGTTGTGTATGGTTTGGAAAGGCTGTGTGCCTTTGTGTAAAGCACTGTTGCACTCACACCTTGCCTTTCTGTGTGAAACCTTCAGTGCTGCAGACATGGCTGCTGACATGGTACAGCCTTCACATTTTGGGACCTTTTTGCTGTGAAGCAAAAGCACAGTGTGCTAAATAATGGCTGGCTGAAGTTGCAAGAGCCCTGCCTAAGGGCTAGAGGAGACCCAGAGCCAGGTGCACTATGTTGTAGATGCAGGCAGTCTGTGTTGCTTGGCTTTGGCCAAAGAACTGACCCTGTCTGTGTCATATTTGGTGGTGTTGCTTTAGCTTTAACATTCAGATAATAGCAGGACTTGTCAGTAAAGTGAAAAGATGTTTGTATGCATCTGCTGTGGGAATTGGTGTCTTTCCTTGGGATTTCATGGTCTTCTTTGGTTTTGGAGCAATATTCATGCTTGTGAGTGACTTGGGTAGCTGTTGAACATGGAAGAGCCTACATTCTGCTGTGTGTTTAAAGGATCTTTTTTACCTGCCTCCTCCTGTGCTTCTGGTCAGTGCATTTGTTAGCAGTTAAAGATATCCTCCTGGCACCATGGTGTTACAGAGGGGAGCAGAGGAACCTGAGAAGCCTCTTTAGCTTGCTCAGATTTTGATGAGAAGAAAAATTCTCTCCTATGGCCTTACCAGGTATCTGCCACTATTTTAAGATACTCTCAGACTTTTGGATTCCCATGTAGCATAAGAGAACATAAGACTTCTGTTGGCTTTCTTGGGGGTGTCATTTTATCAGTAAATTTGTTGCTGTGGGTGAAGTGTACTTTTGCATTTGTGTGTAGACAGAAAGCTGTGGAGATACAATGGTACATACATAAAGTTTTGTATTTATCTAGACTTTGGGTTCACTATGTTTCTAACTTCTCCTTGTGCTGTCAGCCACTATGGAGATTTGTAGATGATGTGGAAGATGAAAGACTGCTGGTCTACAGATCTGAAGATATCAAAGATTTCTCAAGGTTGCAGTCCCCCAAAGTATGTGGTTATTTAAAGCTAAGTGAAGATGAGCTCTTGCCAAAAGGACTGGAAGACAGGAGACAAAATGAAGGTGAGTGTCCACACCTTGAGTGAGCAGCATCTTTGAAACAAATTTCTTTCAATTCACTGTGGGGATGGAGGGGAGAAGCAGCACTCCACATGCCTCTTAAAACAACTTTGTTCTTCTGTGCACTGTGCAGCAGGACTCGTTTGGCCTCTGTGTTCACTCAAGGTATCCATCTTGAGCTGTGATGGGGTTTTGAGAGTTTTCGGTCTCTTTCCTGTGTCCTTTGCTGTGTCAACAAAAGTTGGGGTAGTGATTAGGAACAGGAGGAGAGGTGTTAAGGCTGTGGTGATGACCATAAAAGCTCTATAGGTAAATCTGATGAATAACTCGGTTTCACTGCTGTGCTTTCTTGTCCTTACAGTAAGTTTGAGGACTGTTAAGAAGACAAAATTTAAGAATAGCCACTAAAGAAACCCAAAACCACAAACTAAACCTAAAAATCCCCATTCTCCTCCCAGAAGCCCACCCACACTCAAATTCAGGTCTTAAATAAGGACAATAGACTCAGCAGTGCTAGTAGTATTGAGTGTTTGTTTGAAATACTTACTTTAGAAAGCACCCATCGGAAGAAAAGAACAGTTCCAGAGGACTCCAAGAATACATGCAAGATGTTGGTAGTGGCAGACCATCGTTTCTTCAAGTACATGGGCCGTGGGGAAGAGAGCACCACTATAAATTATTTGGTAAGTAAATGTACCGTGTTAAAATTTGCTGGAATAGAGGCAGGAAAATGCACTGATGCAGAAGTTAAAACATACACCTTATACTACTTTTGTACACACAGCTTTTACCTGTGAAAGTGCTAAATCATGCTTTAAAAATATTCTACAATGAAGCTAATGTAGTTCAGTAGTCTTCAAATTTCACTTAAAAGCAAATTCCTTCATTTCATATGCTTCTGTTTGCTATGCCATTTTCTGCCCAGGAACTTCTCTTTTCTCAGTCAGAGCTCTAGGGTCCCCTGGATTTTGAAATCCAGTCCAAATGATCTGAGTGTCTTTAAAGTTCTAGCATGTTTAATGAGAGGTTAAAGCAACTCATATTGATCTTCTCAACATTCTTTCAGGATTCTCTGTCCAGAACAATAAATTAGAAGCAGGCCCAGTAAACAATTTGTTTGGTTGTACATTGGTGTTGTGGATTAACCCCAGCAGGCAGCTCAGCCTCAGGCAGCCACTTAATCTCTCCTCCCAGATGGAATGGGGAGAGAATCAGAACGGTAAAGGTGAGCTAACTTGTAGGTTGAGGTAGAAACAGTTTAATAGCAAAAGCTGTTCACAGCAGCAAAGCAAAACAAGCAAATTAATTCACTGCTTCCCATCAGCAGGCAGGTGTTCAGCCATCCTGAGGGAAGCAGGGTTGCATTGTGTGTACCAATTACTGAGTGACCCAGCCAAAACACTGGGGTTGTCTGTCTGACAGATTTTTATGAACTAGAACAAGGCCCACCCACAGCCTTTCAGCAGAAGGGGAGAGTATGGGGATCTGGGGGCTGCAGACAAAACAAATGAAAACAGGTTTGAAGGCCTGTTGTTTGTCAAAAGTCTCTTTCTGAACTTTACTCTTTGAAATGCTAATCACTCTGTTCCACTTTTGCTGGCTTTCTGACCTTTCTGTTCCCAGAAATGCTTTTGCATTCTCCAGGTGAGGGGGCCTCATTTGGTGTATTTGCAGAGGTGCTCTTATCTCAGCATGTGACATGTGCTGAGGCTGACCCCTGTTGTGTTTCCTGGGTAGAAGGGTACTGTTAACAACACAGTGATTGGAAAACTAAAGCATAAACTATTATTGAGTGGTTTTGAATGTCACTTCTCAGCAAGTTTGGTTGTTTATATTTAGTAGGAGGTGGTTTTTTTTAAGAGAACAACTTGAAAAGGGAGGTATTGATTGTGAGCACTGACATGAGGCTTTCTAGAACCTTGTGCTTGAAACATAATGAGGAAAATAGTAGGTTTTTGGCTGGGTGAGGGTAGCAAGCCTGGGGGGTCAGTTAAACTAGTTAAGCACCATGCTAAAACAAAGCAGTAAAAACAGCTTCCCCTCAAAGAAATCTGGAAAATCAGTGTGTGAACAAAGTGTTTTCCAAAATGTCTTGTTCTTCGTATTATTGCCCTTCCACTACACAAACAAAAGTGATAAATGGAAAAGTTTGTGCTGCTTTTTTATGATGGAAAATTTTCAAGCAAATTGGATAATGCTGATCCAAAACCAGCAGTACTTGTATCCAGGCAGTTTGTTTTTTTACTTTACACGAGGTTCAGTTTTAATCCAGGTGACTGTTTCTAGGTAAGTGTGCTGCAGTTTCTCTGAATGTCTTTTACTCCATGCATGCTCACCTGGGTAATTTGTTTTTCTTTTCCACACAGATTGAATTGATAGACAGAGTGGATGACATCTACCGAAACACTTCCTGGGATGATGGAACCTTCAATGGGTACGGCATACAGATAGAGCAGGTATTCACTGGACTCTGCAGAGGGCTTCCAAGTTAAAGGATCATGGTTTAAGCAGCAGTGTTCTGATTATTTTTTCTGGGTTAGAGCTAAAATAACAAAATCCTACTTTATTAACTCTAGCCAGGAACACTCTGAAGTAGCATCTTGCCAGTGTTAATGATCTAACATGATTCCCATTTTGAATTCCTTGCAGTGTTTGAAATGTGAATTTTCAGGGAGAATCTTTCCATATTTGTTCCTAATTCAAAAGAGCTTTTTCTTGCCTGAATATGAGCAAATTTTGTTTCTTTCAGAAATACTCATGCATTTATTTCATATTTCTGTTGCTAGTACTTGGCTTACAAAGCCTGAGTGGGCCTCAGACACAGCTGAAAACATGCAATCTTGCCTGAAGAGCTTTAATGACTCCCTTAGACATCATGCTAGTGTAGAGGCTTGTATATGGACACAGGGAATATAGTGAATTCTATTTCTATGATGGTATCTCCAAGTTAGTGCACAGAAATCTGGAAAGCAGCATTAAAAACAGGAGGACTCCATCAGCTCAGCGTACTGAAAGAGCTGTGATGTGGGACATGGAAACTAATGGTACAAGCCAGATTCCCCCTTTGCTGGGAAAAGATCTGCAGTCATAAAGAAAGAGCATTACTTGGGCAGGGAGGGGGTGGAGAACAGGATGAACTAATTCTGGATTACTGGGAAAGTAGGAATCCTTTAACACATTTTGGTTAGCTAGAACTCAGAAATTATTTGGGGTTATTTATAATGATTGTAATTGTTTGGGTTTTTTTCTAAAAATTATATGCATCTCAAAGCAGAATTTTACAGTGAAAACTTCTGATATTATCCTGTAAAAGAGTTACTTACAATATAGTTACTTAGGATTTAGTTAGTGTATTTAACTAGCAGAGGCTGGAAAGTTAATATTAGTCATGCTGAATCTGAATTTTTTTTCCTTACTGATCTATTGAGGCATTTAAAATTACATTGAAACCTTTTCTGTAGCTGTAAAATTGACCAAAATTCCTCTTCATTGTTGTTGCCCTTTTTGACATGTAGATCATCATCCACAATGAGCCAAATCTTGTAAAATCTGGAGAAAAGCATTATAATATGGCAAGAAGTTACCCAGATGATAAGAAAGATGCCTGGGATGTGAAAATGCTGCTAGAGGTAGGTTGTAACCCTTGAAAAATTGTACCCCTGAACAGAGAATTGCTCATTCATATGGCTGCTCTGTAGTAATGGGTGAAAGTCCTCTGCTCCCTCTGCATGATGTATAGATGTCACACAAAGTCAAACCAGCTACTGTGCCCTGTAGCCTGTGGTATGGGGCTCCCTTGCATAATTACAGAGCAGACATCAATTAGTCTTATTAATGTGGTCTGAGTCAGAAAGGCAGTCCTGATACGTCTGGCCCTGAGACTGGCTGCCTTGTGACCTTCATCGAGTTGTTGTACTTGCCTTTGTCCTCCCTGTGAAAAGGGAAAATGAATAGACAAGTTATGTAAATGAATGTGTACAGTGTACTTGGGCATTAGTTTAATTTCCTGCAGCTCTGTAGGATGGCTAAACAGCTGCTGTTTTCTTACTTAAGCACCAGATGTAGGAGGTACTCATCCAGCACATAAAATAAATGTTATTGTCTATAGAGTAATAATAAGCACTGTAAGCCAACAGAGATTTGACTCCTGTTTTTTTGTTTTGTTTTTTTTTGTTAATTTAAGCAATTTAGCTTTGATATTGCAGAGAAAGCAGCTCATGTGTGCCTTGCTCATCTCTTCACGTATCAGGATTTTGACATGGGAACACTTGGACTGGCTTATGTTGGCTCTCCCAGACCTAACAGCCATGGTGGCATTTGTCCTAAAGGCAAGGCTTCTTTTTCTTCTGTCTTCTGTCCCAGTTGTGGGTTGGAAGCTAGTTTTGTTATTGATGTTTAATTCTTTTTTCTAACTTTCTTGGAGTATATTGTGTTATTTGCATAGACTCTTGATGCCTAGAGAGACTACCTGGAACAGAGGCTAGACAGTGTTAAGGGAATAAAGTAGGTACTTATTAAAATTATTTATTAAAAGGCCTTCAAAGGATACACCTTGGGCAGTACAAGAGCCTGGCCAAGGCTGCACCCAAGATGGATGACCAGTCACGACTTTTTACACTTTTATAAGTTTTGGTCCATTTACATATTTGGGTTAATTGTCCATTTACAGCTTCAGGATATGAAGTCCCATCCTCCCAGATTGGTCTCCTTAATTCATATTTTTTGGGCCTGAAGCTGCAGCAGTGTCCTTGGTTCTCAGCTGGAAAAGGATTGTTTTGTCTAACTAAACTGTTAGGATGGGAACTTGCTAGCACTTTATATGAAGTTCAGAGTTACATACTAATGCAGTATTGAATCTGGAAAATATGAGAGCTAAAACTTAAGGCATCACTCTAGTAGCTGTTTTTTTACATAGAAGGGATGACCATATTTTTTGGCTGGAGCTGAAAAAAGCAGGAAGGATAAAAGCCATTAATCACAATCACCGAGATGTCTGGTGTGAACAGGCTGTATAGAAAAAAACCTGTTCTAAGGGCTGCTTTGTGTGGATGCATCCTCCAGTGGTTCTGGAATGGCAAATGCTGTTGTCTTGGAAATTTCTGCTGGTTTTGCCTTTACTGCAATACATGAGCTGTTGGAGCTGTGCTTGAAAAATTCAGCTCCAAAAACTGGTAGGAGGTAGGGTCTCACTAGTGAGCCTGTGAGAACAATAAAGCTATAAAGCTGTTCATTTCCCCTGACAAGTTTCCCTTTCCTCCCAGAAGTACTCTGAAACACAAGAAAAATGTTTCTCTATTTTATTGCTCACTCTTTTAGCTTATTACAGCCAAATTGCAAAGAAGGATATCTATCTGAACAGTGGCTTGACCAGCACCAAAAACTATGGGAAGACCATCCTCACAAAGGTAAAAGAGTATCCTCCTCATACATGTGTGCTGGTGATGTGTGCCATAGGATTGTGACAAGCTTCTGTGCTCTCTCACAAAAGTTTCCATTTGAGTCAGAGCTCTGGGGACAAGGATATAGATCATAAAACAAAAATCTTCTTTGTTGTAGCTGACAAGCAGAGTCAGGACTGAATGGAACTGAAAAATGAATTCACTGTGAAGCAGAAATGAGGAAACAGCTAGTGTCTCCTAGGGGCTGTGGTTTCCTAGATATAAACAGGCTTTTGATGTCAAAAGATGAATTGAAATGTATTTTGTTTTAACAAAAGATCCCCAAACAAACAACAAAACCCTAACAAAACAAACCCTCAAATAGAACAAGCAGGCAAAGTAGAAGGTTTAGTTTGAGCCTTTTAATGAAATTCCTCCACCTGATTTTTGTGTGTCCTGAGTAAAGCATATACAGAAAGTATAGTAGACGGGGCTTATTAGTGCTAATACTAAGCTTAATGTATATTGATGCTTCCTTGATTTTTTTCTATACTTTATGAGATAGTAAATGCACAAAGGCCTAAATATGAGCTTTGTCTCACTTGTAAAGACACGACACCAGTGCCTATGTCTGCCTCTATTAAGTCTTTGAAGTTGGGCATATATCGCTTTTGCTGACTTCTGCTGGCTTCTCAGCTGTGCTTTTCTGTAGTGTGATTATAATAGGAATTTATAATTGATGTGTGGGCTAAAACTTGGCACAGAAACTGTCAAGAAGATAGGGAAAAAAGGCAGTAAAGCTTTGTGTTAGTGGGATGTTGACAGAGAGCTCTAGCAATAGCTGTTGCCATGCTATTTGCACTTGTTCAATCTCCAGACTGGAGTTCTGCCTTAGATTACAAAGGAAGTTGAGGTTTCTGTCTTCCCACTGGCAAAGCTTATGGCTTGGGACAATGGTTCACACTGGTTTCACAAGGAAAGTGCTGCATGGTGTCCACTCAGGTTTAAAAAAAACAAAACCAAAACAACCTTCTTGATTAAAACTCTTCTCCAAATGAAACAGTGAAGCACAGGAGGGATGCCCAGGCAGCTCTCCTGTCTGTGGCTCCCCCATTAGCCATCCTTAGACAGACCAGGGCAGCTCATGGCAGTGCTTGTCCTTCCTGTGCCCACACAGCAGCTGCAGCAGCAGCTCCTCTCCAAAATTGCCCAGTCTCCTTGTGGTTATCTTTATTTCTGTGTGAGTTCAGTTTGTGGTTGTCACCTTGTGAGCTTGACACCATCTGCTGGGGAAGGTGCCCTGGGAGGTGTGCAGCGAGCAGAGCCAGTTTGGGATCCTCAGCACAGGCAGGCGTCTTGCATAAATGATGTTGGAAATCCATCCCTGTTGGGCCACAATTGCAGGTGTCTTTCCTAGAACTCATGCATTAGCAGAGTTTATTCAGCACTCCCAATGTCATTGTCCATCTAGAAGAAATAATTCTAATGTCAAGATATGTTAAACAAGAGATTGACTAATCATAATAGCTGGTGTTTATTTGGATTGGGTTTTGTTTTAACTTTTTATGCCTTCCAGCTACATTGAAGCAAATTTTTGTATTTAAGCATCTGCATTGCCTTGAAAACAAGTTTAAATTGATGTTCTAGGATAGCATTTTGCCTTTACCAGTGATTTCATGTTCAAATCTAGTCCTTGAACTTGACTTTGAAAAGGGCCACAATTTTATTTACCTTCATTTCTCCCCTTCTAAAACCAGAAAAATGTTCACAGGAAATTCCCTGCCATCTTGGTGTATCTTAGTATTGCTGGTGGTCTAGAAGTAGCTGGGATCTTCTGTCCTTTACTGCTCAGACAAATTGTTTCCAGCGTTGATTTTTTTCATGTTCAAAAAAGGAGGCTGACCTGGTTACAACACATGAACTTGGACATAACTTTGGAGCGGAGCATGATCCTGACAGTCTGCCAGAGTGTGCCCCCACTGAAGACCAGGGTGGGAAATATGTCATGTATCCTATTGCTGTCAGTGGGGATCATGAAAACAACAAGGTATGGTGGTTTAGTTTTGCATCAACACAAAAGTTTCTGCTATGTTCAGTGACCCTTTGCATGGCAAATCTATTTAGTTAATGATTCCTGTAGTTTGAAACCACCAGAATGTAATGGATTAGCCTTAAGAAAACATTTACATGCAGCTGCATTCTCTGCAAGATAAGCCCATCTTTGGAATTTGGGTTTCAGTGGAGTTCTCAGATGTCAAGGTGCATTTTAATTACTTGTTTGTAATTAGCTATGGCCATATGTTGCTACAGGCAAGTCCCAGCAAGAGTCAAATCCAGAACCTTCAGTACCACACAGTGTTGGGGCGGCCCATAGCTGCTGTTGGAGAGGGTCTGCCAGGCACCACAGCTGTGGTGGAAGTTGCCCTGGCAGTGTGGCGTTGGCATTGTGCCTGTTGTACAGATGAGAAACCCAGATGAGCAGGGGATGGTTGGCCTGCAGTCTGTTCTGACCTGTGGCTGTGCCCAGCCCCTCTGCCCAGAGGCAGCACAGTCTGTGCCTCTTGCTGTGCTTCACATCCTGTCCTGGGCCGGCTGAAGCCATGGGAGAGCTGGAGTTGTCTCTGAGCCAGACTGTGTGGGGGAGCCCCTGCAGTGGGTGACAGGGTCTGTTACTGACCCAACTGTTACTTTCCCCTCTTAAAATTTTTCCAAGGTATTAAACTGACAGTATATAGGGAATAAATGCTTTCTGGGATGCCAGAGCTCAGAGGCACAGGGGGGCTATGGCTGTCTTAGATGACAGCTGTTGACAGAAAGGTACATTCAGTGCTGCTTTTTTGCCCTATGACTCTCTAGATGTTCTCAAGCTGCAGCAAAAAATCCATCCATAGGACCATAGAGATCAAGGCCCAGGAGTGCTTCAAAGAGCGCAACAACAAAGTGTGTGGGAACTCCAGAGTGGATGAAGGGGAGGAATGTGATCCTGGCCTCTTGTACCAACTGGCTGATCCCTGCTGCTCTGCAGACTGTAAACTGAAAGATGGTGCCAAGTGCAGGTAAGGGGAAATGAGCTGCAGCTTCTCTGCACAGGAGAGAACGTTGGGCTGGGCTGAAAACTCCTAAAGCCATCTGCAGTGACACAGGCCTCTTTCGCATCTTTAAGGCTGAATGTGTGAGCTCACAACAATGAAGGATTTCATGAAAGGCTTCTATGTTCGTACATTAATTTTTGTAGCATTCTGTTTTCCTGAAAAGTGTCAAAAGCCACAGGCTTGAAAATTATTATTGTCATTGTTATTACTACCGTTATCATTAAGCAAACTTAGGCGATCAACAAACATTAAAAATTTCCTGTGCACACTTTCTGTGCAAATACAAGTTTTGTTTGTGTGGGAAGGTGGCTTTTTACACTGGTACATACTGGTAATTCCAGACTGCTGCAAAATGTGTTTGAGCAGACAACACAGTGACTGCAGTAAATGACTCCTCTTTCTGTTATTTCTTTTTGGGGTGTTCATGGCCTTGTTGCAATGCAGTGTCCAATCCTTTTTTTTCATAGTTCATCTCTACACCACGTAACATTAGAGAGCTTGTGCAATTCCTGTTGTTTAGCAAGAAAAGCCATCCATTTTAATGAGTGTTTTTGCACTAAGGCCCTTCTTGTGTTAGGTGAGAACAATGAAAGTAAAGACAATGCAGAATACAAAGTAGAGAACCTTTAGGACAAACAGAAAGGGAGAAATGTTTGGGGAAGGAAAGGGTGAAAGATCTTGTCCTAAGTTGCACAGCAGGTTACAAGAGGATGATCCAAGTGCCTTGAATAAATACAAGGGTCCCTGTGTTGTCTCTCAGTATATTGTACTTTCTATGTGATTTGACCTTCATGAAGAGTGAGTGTGTATGTAGAAGGGTGGCTGTGGGAAAGGGCAGAGAGGAAAAGGGTTGAATCCATGAGTCAGTCTCCAAGAAGTAGCTTTTTACTTCCTAAACATCTTTTTTCTCTGGCTTTGTTGTACTTATTTTTTTTTAAATTGGTTAATATTTGTTTATTTCATTTTCATCTTTCCTCAGTGACCGGAACAGTCCTTGCTGTAAAGGCTGCCAGTTTGAAAGTGCACAAAAGAAATGCCAGGAAGCCATAAATGCCACTTGTAAAGGAGAGTCTTTTTGCACTGGTAGGATATGGTTCTGTCCCCTGTATGTCAGCTAGCCAAGTGCTCCAGGCTTAGTGTCCTGTTCAACCCACTTTCAGTCTAGTGCCCTTTAGTTATCCGGTGCATGTAATTTTAGAGACCAGTTAAGCATCACAATATGCTCCTATAATGAGTTTCATTGTAGTTCAAGAGTCACTTTGTGATTTATTGCCCAGAATGACATTAAAAAGTTTGGGGGTTTTTTATTATTTATTTTTTTAATTTTTTTTTGTTTCTTTCCCTTGAAAGGAAAAAAAAAAAGCAAAACAGAGTGTGTCACTGGGAGAGGACAAGAATGAATTTTGCCATAGAAAGGGTGGAATTACTGCAATTCTGCTTCCCCACTTGTTTAGTTCCTCCTCATAATCTTTCTTGGAGGCAGGGAATCAACTCAGAGTGTGCTTTGCCAAGGGGGGCTCCAGGGTCTGCACCTACTGCTTGGTTGCCAGTGTCACAATGCCTGAGCTGTTAGAAGCCTCCAAGAGCTTCTGCTGCTTCGCAGAGCAGCTGGCAGGCAGCCTGCAGTTGAAAGCCAAGAACAAATCATTGGGGTTTTCCAGGGATAAGTCTGTATTTCCATTCTTTTCCTTCTTCTGCACACTTTGGTGCTCTGCCCTTTGCTCTAACACAGTCCTCCCACTCTGCTGACTTCCATCTGCAGGGAACAGCAGCGAGTGTCCCCCTCCGGGGAATGCTCCGGATGACACGGTGTGCGTGGACATGGGGAAGTGCAAGGATGGGGAGTGCGTCCCTTTCTGCGAGAGGGAGAAGAACCTGCGGTCATGTGCATGCAACGGTGGGTGACACAGACTGAACTGAAATGGGACTGGGACTGAAATTCATATTTCATCTCTGCTCCTTTGAGAGTGCTGGCTTCACTGTGGGCTGGCCTCTTGGAGGGCTGAGTTTGTGGTTTCTGGAAAAGTTTAAACTGTTGGGTTTTGTCAGCCATTCTCTGTTTAAAAAGGGAATGTGAATGTCCTCCTGTCTTCTGGTGGTTTGGGTTGAAGACATTAAGGTGAGACTTAGGGTCTGACACTCCAGCTAAAGGAGAGGACACTCTTCTACCTTCCAGCTCTACCACAGATGGACAAGAAGGTATTGTAAGGAGATTCCAACCAACCTCTGGATCCAGCATCTGGCAGTGGAGTGTACTGGCCTCCAGCAAGGAGTTAAAGAAAGATTTCAAAGAGATTAACGTACCTTGAGAATATAGAATCCCCAGCTTCATTCTCCTGCTAACCTGCCTGCCATATACATCTGCCAGTGATTTTTCCTGCTCCTTTGCTGTCCATATTATTCCCTAAATGTGGGAAAGCAGCTGGGAGCAGGATGAAAACTTCACAGGGGCAACACAAGTTACTGCTATGAGCCCCTCTGTTTGAGGTGGAGGGCATAGCCGAGGAGACAGGTGCCTAGAGGACTCAGAGCCCAAGAAATATTTAAATTTGTCCTTTTGGAGGTGCTTGGAACCTCTTCATTCCCTGTTGTTTCGAGCAGTGTTGGAGTATCAGCTTGGAGAATTTGGTCCCACTGTACCCCTTAATATGTTGCACAAGGGCATGTGATTGAATTTTAGGATCGATTGTCAGAGTGCCTGAACTTGGGTGGCTTGGTCCTGCTTTCCCTGCAGGGAGGCTGATCAGGACTGTGCTCAGATAGGAGACACATGGGGTTGTGGGTTGCAGGTGACTCTTTGTGCTTCCAAGGAATGAGTTTGCTGCTTTATTTCAGAAACAGATAATTCCTGCAAGGTGTGCTGCCGGGACGAGCAGGACAGGTGCACGCCATACGTGGATGCCAATGACCAGTTCCTGTTCCTGCGCAAGGGGAAGCCTTGCACTGTGGGGTTCTGTGACACAAATGTGAGTGCACCCAGCTCTGCTCTGCTGGGGGTCCGAGTCCTCCCAGCCGGAGTGTGAGCAGGGTTTTAAGTACCTCTTCACAGGGTAAATATTAAAGGGTGTTGGAGTTCTGCAGAGACCCATGCAAGGGGAAGCTGTTACCTTCTGGAGCTGCTCATTACCCCCTCTGCTGCTCCCCATAGCTCAGCCAGCTGGCACCCTGCACAAAGGAGGGGACTGAGTGCTGCTGTAAGCTCAGCTGGGTTTGCAGCACTTGCCTTTCCAGTTGTTCCCGTTAGCACAATTAATTTTTATTCCAATAATTCAGGTCAGGGAGCAGTCACATGAAAATCCAGCCAGCAGTATCCAAAAGGGGCAGTGAGCTGTGGCAGGGAGACTGGTGGCTTGCTGGCGCTCAGTGGCCTTTTCCTTGGTACAGCTGCACAGACACCTGCAGACCCCAGTGGTTAGAGCTAAACTGGGTGCCAGCAGAGGTGAATTTGGGAGGGCATGTCCCAGTCCTTCTTCTGGCAGAACTGGAAGATCTACTATGTTAAACCAGCACAACCAAATCTGGACGTGAGTTTGTCTCTAACCTTGGTCTCCTGAGAGCTGAAGCCTTCTTTGTGGATAATGGGAACTGAGGCTTCCAGTGTTTAAATCTCTCCAGAAATAAGTTTTATGTCCACTGACATGGGCCAAAGATAGAGTGGATTTTGCATGTTTCAAACAATACAACTTGATCTGATTCAGACTGCAGTCAAATTGAAGCTGACCTGATAAAATAGAGGCAGTAAAAATGGACTGCTGCTATTGGACATGAGTGTAATTCTGTATTCAAAATGTAAGTCAAGTCATGCTTGTGTCTGTAGTTCTCATTTCATTGCTATCATTGTAACTCTTTCTCCAAGAAGGCAGTACTTAATACTTGGTAGCATAAGATTATTTTGTTACTTTTGCAGGGCAAATGCGAGAAGCAAGTACAGGATGTGATTGAACGATTTTGGGATTTCATAGACCAACTCAGCATCAATACTTTTGGTAAGATACCTAACCATGTCATTCAGTGATTTTTGAGTTCATGACATGAACCTCTAAAGCCTCAGGGGGAGTTAGCTGCCTGGATTTATACCTGTGTGCAAGGATAGCTAGTAGCAGTGCTTGTGATATATCGAAGTATATTTTTGCCTGAAGTTTGACACTACTGATCTCACCTTCTAAAGCTGAAAGGATGGGATATTGTTTTGAATTTTTATACTCCATTTTTTTCTAGGCATCTTCCAAGCTTGTGAAAGGGACGACAGCTTCTTGTCTGAATACCAAGAACTAGGTCAATTCGAGAAAAGGAAATAACAGTCAGTCTCTTTAGAGGTCAGCTAGATTCAGCAGGGTATAAAGTGGGCCTCTCAGTGGTATTTAAATGTCAGCTAACCCGAGGGGAACACTTCCTTTCTCTGTCATTTAAGAAAACCAGGGATCACACACCTCAAGCTGTGCCTGTGCTGAGTCACTCCCTGTGACTGATTGGGCCTCCTTGGTCTGGATCCCAACTGTGCAACCCAAGCAGGTGTCACCTCACCCCAGGTGTCAGCCCCAGTGTCTCGCTCTATGTTACTGGCACCAAATAAAACCTGTGGTTAAGCTGGTGCTGTGTTGTAAGCCCTAACTGTGTGTGCTTATGGCACCACTGTTCCTGCACAGTGCAATTGTCTGAGCTGCAGCTTTCAATCTCAAGTTTCAGAGACAAAGAATTGTTTCTTACGTAACTGATAAAGCTTTTCAGCCTGCTTGGATAGAGGCAGTTTTTGAATCTTTGACGTTCAAATATTTTGTTTGTGGAGGCAAGTAGAGATCACATGACTGTTACATCAGAATTTGGTAATGGACTTGCAGTGTCTCTTGTATAGTAAGAGGGGCAGCTTGGCTGGCTCAGTATAGGCTGTTACAAAACAACCCATATTCAATATTACAGCCTCACAGTATTTCTCTTCAGAGAACAACAGAGAAAAACCTGTTACTGTTATTGTACTGGATACAATTTTCTAAATTTTCTAAAGTTCTTTCATTTTATCTTTGCTTACTCTAAAGTAGGCAGCCTGTGCTTCTCTGAGCAATTCTGAGGCTTCACTTGCCTGAGCAGTGGCTGCAGAAGGGAGGGATAGATGTGTGTGTTCATGAAACTTTATTTGGAATGTAACTGACAGATTTGAACTGGTTTCACAGGGAAGTTCCTAGCAGATAATATTGTGGGCTCTGTGCTTGTCTTCTCCTTACTGTTTTGGATTCCTCTCAGCATCCTTGTGCACTGTGTGGTGAGTAAGCTGTCTTTGAGATGACTGCTTTGTTGGATTTTACTGTGAGAACACGCTTCATATGTGAAATGGCAGATGGATGTGGGAGAAAATGATGGGAAGCTTTTAGCAAACCCTGGGGGGAAATCCAGCATATGTAAGGCTTGCTGCTCCTTCAGTAGGCAAAACTCTTGCTAAACGCTGCCAGGCTCTGGCAGACCCAGTGCTCCCATGACTATTCCCTGGAGCCTTTCCCATTCTTTCCCAGGCAGATTTTCTTTCTCTGCCTTCTGAATTCTACCCAAGTATAATTTCGGTATTTTTATGATTAAAAACAAAGCCTTCTGAAGCCCTGTGAAGAAATGACACCCATATTTTGAGAGGAGACCCAGAATGGAAAGTGATCTTAGCTGGTCTTGGGTGGATGGGTAGAGTCAAGCTTATGGCCACTGGGAGTGTGGACATGTGGTAGCAGTGTGGGTTTAGAGCAAAGAGAGCACAGGCACTCCTGGGATGAATGGGAAGGCATGGGAAGTAGGGGAAGGAAAAAGACCCCCACAAAGTGCTCTGTCCCTGCAGAAAAAATGAGACTTTGCCATAGGGAAATTAACTTTCTTACTTTGTTCTGTGTTTTTCAACAGGACAAGAAATTGGACAAGCAGTATGAGGAGAACACAAAATCCCTGTTTTGCCCCAGTGTAAGTTGCTATCTAAGTCTGGATTGGCAGAATGCTGTCCTATGTGCTTTGGAAAACCTGAACATCAGGTGTCTGCAGAGTATTTACTAAAAGAGTAGTAAGAGAGAGCTCCAGAACCCCATGCTGCAGAGGGGTGAATGCATGTGAGGAGAAGCTGGTTTCTGAAAAAGCCTCTGTTCACTCTTACCAAGCACTGCAGCATGGCAGGATCTGATTCTTCCTTCTTGTAAGAGCTGAGCCTTGTTGGCAGAGCCCCTCTGGTGCAGCAGAGAGGGGCAGGAAGCCCTCTGGGGCTGGAAGCCACTCTGCTCTGCAGAGCACAGCTTGACCCATGTCTGGCATCCCCTTGGCACAGCACATGCGGCAGCACCAGCCACAGGCTGCTTGTTCACAACCAAGTGAAGCATGTGGCTCAAAAATCTCTGCAAAATGCAGTGTCTTTGCCGTAGAATGGCTGTTTGCAGGAGTTGGCTTCTAGCACCCAGATGTGCTATAGCCTTCCAGTTGCTCAAGGGGCCCATCAGCAGCACCTCTCACCTTGCAGATACTGAGCTGGGAGAGGGAAAGAGCAAAAAATTGCCAAGATAAATTTTAATTACAGTCCAGCACAGGGCACCTTGTGACATAGTTTTGGGTATCATTTCCTGTGCTTTGACAATCCAGTTCCTGTCAAGAACTGAAATATTCAGTTAAGGAAATGTTGTTCTGTGAGGGGAGGGGGAAAAAAGCCTTGCACAGCTCTTCTTTGTACAACCATTGGAGGAAGCATACTGAAGTTGGAGACCACTAAGACAGAGTGCCTCTGTCATCTACTGTGACAGAACAGAGGGTGATCTTAGTTCAAGTGCCCCATAGTTGTGCCATGAGAAAAGTTATCTTAGTGTTTCTTACCTGTATTCAATTGAGAAAATCCCAGAGGCAGGAGAGCACAGGTATGGTCTCCTTGCACCAGCAAAAGTTTAACAAACAGATTTTGTGTCTTTTGCATCTGCTGAGGATGGAGCAGATGGGAAATGGTAGCAGGTAAACATCTCAGCCTTCCCAGTATTAGCATTTGCAGAGGTCCTTGGGGATTTCTTTTATGCCTAGAGATCTCTGGATATTTTCCAAACCATGCTGAAATAGAAGCAGACATCAATGGACTTGAATTTAATCACGATTGCAGATTTTGGTTGTGATGACTCTGGTCCCTGCAGTCTTTGACCCTGTGTTCAGTGCAGCTTCTTGTACATGAAATGATGAACTCTCCCAAGTTGGAGGACTGGAATAAGCTGTACCTTGGACTGTTTCCCTGTACTGAGCTCTGTGTCATGTGGCTTGACCCTGCATTTCCAGTCCTAGGATTTGCCAAAGCAGTTTGGGCCCCAGGACGGAAGAGCCAAGTCATCAGCAGTGAGGCTGTCACCTGTGGTGCTTTATGCAGAGGAGGAAAAAGCAGACGCAGAACAACCTTTCTGCCTTTAGGGAGTGGCACGGGGTAGCCTTTAAGCTGTTCTAACAGGAGTGCAGCTGCTCCTCAGAAAGTGCTTCCTCTCTTTGAAAAATGCTGCAAACACCGAACCCTGGACTAGATGCTGGTTGCTTTTGCCAGTGATGTGGCTGCTTGTGTCTTGCAGAACGTGGAGATGCTCAGCAGCCTGGACTCTGCCTCCGTTCGCATCATCAAGCCGTTCCCCGCGGCGCAGGCCACGAGCCGGCACCAGCCGCTGCAGCCCCTGACGGCCGCGCCCGCCGCGCCCGCGCCACCCAAGCAGGACCACCAAAGGATGGACACCATCCAGGAGGACCCGAGCACCGACTCACACATTGATGAGGACGCCTTTGAGAAGGACCCTTTCCCAAACAGCAGCTCGGCCGCCAAATCTTTCGAGGACTTGACAGACCATCCTGTCATTAGGAGTGAGAAAGCTTCATCCTTCAAACTACAGCGCCAGAACCGAGTGGACAGCAAAGAAACAGAGTGCTAGTGTCCTGCTGCCTTCTAAATGTACGACTCGTGTCTGCAAAATAAGGATCTGAAACCATTTCATTTCTATAAATATAAATGTATGTACATATATTTTTGTGAGGGAGCGGGAGAATAAGGAAGTGACCTACTGCAGATGCTGGTCATGTGTATGACCTTCCTTAAACTACATTTATTAGAGCATTGTATCTTTTAAAAAGGAAAATCCAAACTAGAACTGGCTTGTTTTTGAAGCTTTTTGGATTTGTTTTTCTATTTCCTTGACCTTTAACATTTCCTTCAACCTGTGGTGCAAAACCGAATATCCTGATGGATATTGGATTGTGTATATCAGCCTTTTTTTATATTTTAATATTTTGTAGTCTGACAGCACTGATAGACAAAATTAAGGGGCTTTTAAAACCAAAATGAACACTGCAGTATGTTCCATAATAGAGTATATAATTTAGCATTTTAAGGTACGTGTAACCAAAAGCCTGAGCAAATGCCTTGAGAACAGAGAGTAATGAAACAGGTAAAAATACAGTGAAATGCATCATCAGAATAAAGATACTTGAGATGCCCAGTTTCCATATAGATAAAAGAATCACAGAGGCTGTTAAACCATATATGGTGCATGAGAAATGCTCCTCTAGCATGAAACTCTTCTGCCTCAGTTGTGAGGCCGTCTTGTCTTGGTGTCTTTTGTTGGGAGCTTCCCGCTCTGCACGAAGGTTTGTGTGTTGAAGGTGTCTGGTTGGAGAAAGAAGTGTAAAGGAAGAAATCAGTTATGCAGATGACATTTTAAACTGTTGTTTACAGCAGTTTTGGTGCAGAAATGTTTCTCCAAATTTTAAAATAGGCAACACTATTGTTGAAATGTTGAAATTGCTGAGCTCAGATTTCCATGGTCTCTGTGGCCTTTGGAGGCTCCTACTGCATGAATGATGAGAAAACATCATGCCATTGCAGGGGAGGCATTTGTTTAAAAACAGTTGTGAACTTAGTAAAGAAATAAACCTTTGTTAAAACTTGCAGGGTAAGTATAAGGAGGAGATTTTGTGAATACAGATTCTCACACGTGTAGTAAAATGTGATGTTAAAAGCTGGTGATTGGATGGTGTCTTCTGTACACCTGGAGATCTGTAAGGTGAGCTGGGAATGGTACATGAGCATTGTTTTAGCTTAGTAGCAGATGAACTGACATAGTGGAGTCATAAAGCAAGTGTCCTGGTAGTACAGCAGCACCTTCATTCTGCAGCTGTTTTCTCCCACAATAACCTATTGATAAATGTGGCCAAGGGCAGAACCATTTACCTGTTACAAGCCTGGACTCTACCACAGGGAAACAGCTGTGGAGAGCCCGTGTTCTAAATGTGAGAGAAAGGAACTGAACCTGTGCTGTTAAGTTGTGTGTGTTCCCTCTCCTCCACACCCAAGGATACTTGTTACACTTGTACTTGAATGTGTGCCTTATGGTATTCCTATCTGACTAGCTATTAGGTTTTATATGCTGGTTTTGAACTTTGTTTGGGGTTGTTTGTTTTTTGTTCAGGTTTTCTTTTTTTGATTCAGTGCAACGTACATGTGTGAGGAGTTAAGCTAATGCTGCAGAAGCCAGACCTGGGCTATTGATAGTCCCGACCTGCACTGTGAGGGCTGCCTGCTTCCTGCCCAGGCTGGAGCTGGTATTGCCATGTGTTCTGCAGATTCTCCTCAGTTCAGATGGTGACATTAATGCCTAAGGGATGGGGGGTGTGCTCAGATCCCTGGTCAGATACCAAATCTGTGAGTACACGTTCTCAGCACAAAGGTTTTTACATACCAGGTAAATAATAAATACAGGTGAATACCACGCAGTGGCACATTCTTGGGAGCATGAAAATGGAGATTTGGAGCAGGCCTTGGAAATCACTGAATCTATCCCCCAAGCCTGAGCTGTATTCCAGAAGCTGAAAGCAGTACTTGCATGGTTTGTTCATAACATCTAAGGCAGGAAGATCCACAGCTTCCCACTGGGACCCGGTTTTGCTGTTCAGCCAGTCTTTACTGTAAGCATTTATTACAGAAAGGATAGTCCAGTTTAATACTCATAAATATTTATACATCAAACTCACTTCTGCTCTGGCTCCAGGCACAGAAAATAACAGAAAAATAACGACTTAGGCTCCAGTTTATAACACTGTTACACAGTAGATGACAGTAAGTAGATTCCTTAATTATTTCAAGAAGCAAAGGCAGTCTGGGACTAACAGTGCAGGACAGCATGAGAGCCTCCCATTATTCTCTCACCCCCTACATAATAAACACACCTGTTCCATATCAACATAATTGTTAATACAGCCCAGAATTATGGATGGCTTATATCTGCAGTGATAACGCTATTTGGTTTTTATGCTTGGTTAGTTGTATCCTCATTTTTGCTGCTTTCTGCCTTGCTAGACAATCATTTCCCAAACTATTTTTTCCATACTTGTTACATTTCATCTAGGTTGCAGGCAGTGCTTTTTTTGGTTTGTAAAGGCAGTTTTGTAGTTTGTGTTCTCTTGGCCAAAACCTGCATAGTCTGCAGTACTTACATGAGTTATAAAATTATTTTAACAACTCATTTGAAAGGTCTTAACTTTATGGCAAATGACTTACGGTATAGCTTTATCAGCAGAGATGCAGATCTCTTCTAGTAGCTTCTCCAAGCTCGTGTATCACCATGCCCAAAAACGTGCACTGGTCTGAAACCTGTGCCTATACAGAGCAGGTATAAAGAGTTGGGTATAAAGAAGCTGCTGCTGGTGCCAGAGTGAGTTAAATTTTAAAAGCCCTGCTCTAAACTACTCTCTTTCACTGCCAAAGCAAAACTTAGGGAACTGCTGTTCCTACTGTATTACATCCAAATAAATTAATTTGGACTGACACTAATGGCTCTTGACAAACTCCACACTACTGTCTCTTATGAGCTCCTCTGTGTTTAAAGCAAGTAGATGGTATTAATCATAGGGCAGTCCCCACAGCTCAGCAAAGCCAGGAACTGCTCAGGGCAGCCTCTATCTCTTGGCCACAGAGCAGCTGAGATGCATTTTCCTCTGAGTCCTCCAAGGAAAAGAGCTACTCATTCCCACAGCTATCCTGGCAACAGCAGCATGAAGAAAAACCACCCCAGGACACACCCTAAGTGGTCTCACCTTTATTCTCTGACAGACCAAGAGAAGGGGACAGAGAAGAGCACTGCTGGGGACTGCCCAGTGCCATGTTCCCTGAGGACACAGTTTGCAGCATGCTGCTGGATAATGGGCTGGCTCTGTCTGGGTGGCTGCCCCGGCTCCTCCCTGCAGGGATGTCACAGAAGACTGGCCTCGGGGTTCGTGTGGTCCACATCACGCCAATAAGGAAGCAGAGAAGGAAGAGCAGACAGTTTGTTTTCCAGGCGTGACCAAAGCTGAGCTGCTACAAAGCTGTTGCCTTTTGTTGACAGATGAAGACCATCAGACAAATAGGAAGAGAAATCCTACAAGGGAGGTTAAAACTATATATTAGTGTATTTCCTACCTGCATAGAGATGGGTTTTCAGTAATTCTTCAAAGACAGCTGGTAAACTGGTTTTATTTTTCACTGTTTATGTTAAAATGTTAAGAAAATGCTCTGATGGCCAAAATCACTCCTATTCATCAGTAAAAGATCATAGGATTAAGTGATGCAATCAAAAGTCAACAGTCCTACTGCATCAGGGAGGGCAGGGAGAGAGAAGGTTCAAACTAGAGTTGTCTGCAGTCTCCTATGGATGAGTTTGGGTATTTGGTCAGAAGTATTAGCAACACCCTTGTGCAGCCAGATCTGAACTTGAAATTAGCCCAACACTGCAGAGTGGGTTGGACAAGAAACCTCCAGAGGTCCCTTCCAACCTAAACTATTCCATGACTCAAGTCCAAGGAAAAGGCTATTTAGATATAATGTACTCAAGAGGATATTTGCTAACCAAGTACCATGGCCAGGTTGAATAAAGCTTTATTTCTCGTTGCCAAATATGAAACACTCTAGACTGGTTTTTTCCTTCCCTGAAGTGAAATTTGGATGTATTTTTGTATCATTTCAGTGATAATGCAGCACCACCAGTTCCTCTGTGCTAAATGATGAATTTCACAATTCATGACAGTTTCAAGTATTTCTGATTTCATCGTACCTGATTCTTCTGCATCAGGGTCCAGAGGTCGAGCACGTCCGTGCCGCATTCCCTGGCGACCTGGACACAGGCCTGGGCGTACTGCCCGGTGGTGGCATTGCAGCGGTTCAGTTTGTCACCTACCAAGCAGGAACAAAGAAAACATCCAGCAACTGCCACTGATGCAGTGCAATTTCAGTCTTCTGTGGCACATACCCTGTGTATCAGGAGTTAAACCTGCAGACATAACCAATCACAAACTAAATCCAAAGCACAGCAATGCAAGTGGCTGGAAGCTACAGCTTGTGAAGTCTTTTTCAGGACATCCTTTGGTTCTGAGTCACTTGAAAATGTCTCTTTTGAAGAAATGCATTGGGTTGAGAGAAGCAACAGCAACAAGCAGACAGTGTAATTCTGCTGCTCACAGCTCTCATCTTCTGGCAAGCTTCAGGTCAAAGCAGTGCTTAGATTTAAAACTCTCTTCATACACCTGCTAAGGCAGGTAAAACAGAGTTAAGTAAATGGAAATTTATTTACAAGCTGCCTTCTGCTTTTTGTCTGACTTCACATGCAACTGTTCCTTGCAGTAGTCCTCTTTCTACTTTTGATACCTGAATGAAAGCTCCTGTGAACATCACCATCCTCCTGCTTCCCATTTCTTCTTTGCTCTGGTATCTATCTGACAAAACTAGAAACAGGCAGAAAATTTCTCCTTGATACCGGAGGGCAGATGGTCTGACATTGCTGCTTATTGTGCCCACAATACTCCATTTGTGGTCCATGGTCTGAGATCACCCTATCTTTTGTTCCATCCCTAGACAGTACTCTCTTTTAGACAGACAGTGGCAGATTCAGTGCTGTAAATTCAAATTTCCTCCATCCCTACCCTATAAAAAGGATGTTTTTAAGAGGAAAATGGATTAACATTACAAGTGCTACTTCACAGCTGGAAGCCAGATAAGCAGCATTTGAGGTGTGCTCACATGACATCCCATCAAAGCCTCCTAATGCAAAACCATATAATAATGGTGTCTAATTTAATGCAGTTTAAACTTAAGGTCATCTTCAAAGTCTTACAACTTTGATTGAAAACATGACTCCGGATATGCAACACCACCTAAATCATAGAAAAGCATGCCACAAAGGTACCACCTCTGTATTTACCTGACCTAACTCAAAAGATTTTTATAAATGTGCCAGAACTGGACAAGGTGTCCCAATAGAAGAGAACAGCTCTCAGGAGGTATAAACTATCACTGCTGGAGTCAGTGAGATTATGGCAATTTCCACCAGCTCAGTAACACAAGGTAAGTGGTGCTACTATGTCTCTAATTTTAGAGTTAGCTTAAACAACATAATGGGAAATCATTTAACTACCTTTTTCTTCTTTTCCAGGCACTTTTATTAGCATCCTTAGAATATGATATTCTCTGGTATTGTTTTTTTAACTTTAAAATAAACCTAGCTGAGATATTACTGCTTATCCAAACAGATGTGAAATCTGCTGTACTTAGTAAAAAATTTTATAAGGCACACAATGCCAACATTTCTTCCATCTTTATTATTCTGGAAGCTGCTGGGACACGATGGAATCTGCCTAGGAGATGTTGACAAACCCCATGTTCTTAGAGGGCAGCCACTTCTGTCAGTTCTATGCATTAAATCAATCAACACTTTGGGATGTTTGTACTTACTTGGTAGTTACTCCATGAGCTTATCCAGAAGTTGTTTAGTAAAACAGCAGCCCTTTTCCAACAGAAACAAGTCAGAGAACATGACTTCAACATGGCACATGTGTGAAGGAAATCACCTGACAACCTGGGATCTGTCACTTATACTCCACTGGTAAAATGCAGGAATTCCACCCATCCTCATCATTACCTCACCTTTGGCAAGACATGCCTTTTCCCAAGCTGATTCCTGAAGAGGTGGTGGTGTTATCAAAATAATCC